GGCGCACCCACTTCCGCCGCCGCGCCCCACCCCCGGAGATGCCCTGTCAGGGCGCCGGCGCCCTTACCTGGGACTCGTCCCGCACCGCCTCGGCCGTCGGCGCCCGGCCCCGCCGCTCTTAAACCCGCCCCGCCCCCTCTCCAACCTCCTCCCGGGGCCGGACCCCAGCCGTCCCCCGCCGATTTGTCGTCGAGCGGGGCTGGCTCGCCTCCACGCACACCCCCCCGGGCGCGCCCCCGGCGTCGCCTAGGCAACCCCTCCTCTCGGGAGCGCGCCCACCCTTCCGTTCCCGCCCTCCCCCGTAGGCCACGCCCGGCGCGAGCCTATTAGCCAATCCGAAGCGGAGCTTTCGAGCTAGGCCAATGGGAGGCCGCCTGGGGCGGGAGGAGCGGCTCGCACGTCCGCCCCGCCCACTCCCGTCTCGTCTTCTGGACCCGGCCGGACGCGCCGCACGTGACCGCTGCGGTGGAGGGGCTGCGAGCCGGTCCCGGGGCGCCAAGCGCGGGTGGACGAGCGGCGCTCGCGTCGTGGGATTTCGGCCGGGCCTAGGCCAGAGTCGGGAAAAGCAGAAGGGACCCACAGACCTGACAAATGGAAACCAAGGAAGACTACGACGTGGAGAAGTACCTGTGGAAGGGTCCAGACGGGGCTGTTAGTTGGGACGCCCTCCAGGGTCCCCTGTGGCGGGACACCGCCAGCCGCCACGACGGGCTTGGCCAGTGACATCCCATTAGCCATCATGCAGTTGCTTAACCATTGCCTAGCAATAACTAGCAATAACTTGAGGCAAGTCACACTGACTCCTAACCCTGAGCGGAGCCTGGAGGCCGAAAGTGCCGTGGGCAAGCCCACAAAGAACAGCTTTTCTCCCACCACCTGCCCTGCCCTCGCCCTCCAAAACCCGGGAACTTAGAATTTTCTAGCCAAATAAGGCTTCACCTCAGGCTGACTTTCCTAACTAACCATCCCTTCCTAGAGCTGAATCCGCCCCACAAGCAGGTTTTGTGACCCTACACAAACCTCACAGCACGTCACACTGTATCACATTTGATTAAGTGTCCGCTTCTACAGTCTCTAGGGAAGGGAACGCTCTCTTAGTCAATTTTATATCCACAGCAGCTAGCACGGTGTCTGGCATAAACCATAACCGTAACCCGTTGCCATCGAGTCGATTCCGACTCCTAGCGACCCTACAGGACAGGGTAGAACCGCCCCATAGTTTCTAAGGAACACCTGGTGGATTCGAACTGCTGACCTTTTGGTTAGCGGCCATAGCACTTAACCACTGCGCCACCAGGTTTCCGGTGTCTGGCATATAAACATTAATTCCTACCTTGTTGGTAATTACGCACTAAGATACATAATCATTATATTAGAAGCTTTGGGCCTTGATTAAACTGCTATGTATAAGCTACTAATTGACGTAGTCTCTCACCCAACATCTATATCAAAAAAAGGCAGAGAAGCTTGACCTTAATCTTCAGGAAGTCTTAGACAGAGACAACAATTGATCAGAAGAATAGCCTAGTGTTACTCTATGTTAAGCATTCTGTTTTTACCCTCCTTACACACGTTAAAGTACCTAGTGTGCTAGTTATATGACAGAAACCGTTCTAAAGGAGGAAAGGGAGGGTTCTTCTCAAAAATGAACCTCTCTAATGTTTATAACCTAGAAGGAAAATCAGATACAAACCTTGTCTATGGAGTAAAGTAATTAAGTGCATGAGTTTGGAGTCAGGAAGCATAGGTTCAAAGATCTTACGGTATAACTTATCAGTTGCTGTTGCGTCAGTGCCAAGTTATGACGACCTATATGTGTCAGAGTAGAACTGGGCTCCGTAGGGTTTTCAATGGCTGATTTTTCGGAAGGAGATCAGCAGGCCTTCCTTTTAAGACTTCTCTGGTGGACTCAGACCCCCGAACATTCAGTTAGCATCAAGTGCGTTAACTGTTTGCACCACCCAGGGGCTCTCACGACAGAGCTAAACCAAACGTGCTGCTGTCCAGTTGATTCCGACTCATAGCGACCCTATAGGACAGAGTAGAACTGCCCCATAGGGTTTCCAAGGCTGTAATCTTTTCGGAAGCAGACTGCCACATCTTTCTCCCATGGAGCAGCTAGTAGATTTGAACTGCCGACCTTTCGGTTAGCAGCCTGAGCTCTTAACCACCACGCCACCAGAGCTCCTTATCATATAACTAGCAGTTACTTGGTTAAGAAGTTACTTAACCACTCTGGGCCTCCGTCTCCTAGCGGTCCAACAAAGGCAGTACTTTCCTCATAAGGGTGTAGGTGTGCAGAATTAAACAAGATCGCATGCAAAGCTCTCAGCACGGTGCTAGGAACTTGACGAGTGCCCAGTAAATGGGAGCTTAAATTATGCTAGCTGCCGGAGGCCATGGTGTACACCACAACCAAGCCAGGGACAGCATTTCCTCCCAAGGCCCACTCATACCTGGGCGCGTGCAACACCGTCATTAAACCAGCTCGTGCTGTGTGCAGCCCGGGGGAAGCGCTGCTGTTGTGGCCCACCACAAATGCAGGTTCAGGCGGAAGAGCTGCCCACAGAGGCCTGCCCAAGGGAAATGAGAAATTCAGGGGACAGGATCAGGGTCACAGACGGATCTGGACTGTCCCATCCCCACAGGAGCCATAGGTGGCTTTCTTGCTTCTCCTGGAGTGTGCAATGGCCATTCTTTTGTATTAGTAACAGCCTGTTACACAAGATATCCTGGGTTTTTTGAGAAATGCCACACTCAAGTTTCTGCCTCCCACTCCCCCACTCACCTCAGCCCCTAGAACACTGGGATCCTACCGGGACTCCACCAACATGGATTCAGCTCCAGGGACATGCCAGGCCCTGAGCTGGGTGTGTAGGTTCAGAGAGGAGTGGAGGGCCCGTTTGGAGGGGCTGTCTCACAGAGGACACCATCCCCGAACGTGCCCCACCAGGGGACAGGAGCTGGGGAGGCCACTGGCCTCACACATCTGGGGTTGCTCACGCCAGGACTCAAGGTGCTCTTGTCTACTGGGTGTCTCTAGCCGGAACTCTGACCCCCTGCAGCACTGCGCCCTAAAGAGCGGGAGAACAAGACTCCAGCAGGACCCCGAAAGGGCCTTCCCACCCACTGCAGCTGTGGAAAAAGCATTCTGGACAGCCCTTCCTTCAAAGTATTGGAGCCCAGGTGGTGTACTTGTTAAAAGCTCAGCTGCTAACCCAAAGGTCAGCATTTGAAATCCACCAGCTGCTCCTCGGAAACCCTATGGAGCAGTGCTACTCTGTCCTATTGAGTTACTATGAGTCAGAATCAACTCGACAGCAAGGGGTTTGGTTTGATTTTGTGCAAGTCTTTGGAGTGCCTGGGTGGTGCAGATGGTTAATGTGCTCACCTGCTAACCAAAAGGTTGGAGGTTCAAGTCCATCCAGAGGCACTTCGTCGCCATGAGTTGGAATCCACTCAAGGGCAATTGGTTTGGCTTGGTGGGAGTCTTTAGTGTTGTTTGTTGAATATCCTCACTTCTCCCACCTTCTGGACACTGGGTAGCATTGA